GTTTTCAAGCTTGAGGATGGCGAGCAGTCCTAGGATGGTGACAAAGATCCACCCAGAGGCATGGAGGGGTGTGAGGGGGAGGGGAGTATGAACAAATGGTACTGACAATGAAAACTAAGAACGAAACTATACAGGCACCCTTTGTCATGGAGGGTCCCAGCACTTTTTAGGGACCACAGTCCTGGAAGCACAGTGCCAGGTTCATGGGTGTAGTGCTCTGAGGTCACCGTTTTGGAATTCTTAATAACTTATGAACAAAAGGCCTGGCACTTTTTATTTTTCACTGGGTCACTCAAATTTTGCATCCCTCACCCCAGCCATAAAGGGGGTGACTTGTGTTAGGTGGGCCAGGTACAGAAACTCACCAGGGAAGAAGCCCCAGATGCCTAGCAAGGGGTGAAACTGGGAAAACAAGAACTTTGTCCCCAGGGTAATCTATCCTGCCTTAGCACATGGCTGGTCATGCAGTTTAGACCCCCTGAGGATTAGAACCCCTGAGCGTTCCTTCCTAAAGATAAAATCTAGGCCTCAGTTGTAGTTCAGCTCTAGGCCCAGATAAGCAGAGAAATCACACAAGTAGTGCCAAGGCTGACTCAGGACCAGATACATTGACTAATAACCCCCTGCCCTGGCACTGACCAATCCCCGGCCACGGAAACCCTGAAAGAGCGCACCTGGAAAGCTGATGACTATTCTATTAAGACACTCCCCTGAGACCTCCCCTAAGATTCCCGCCCACGCCCACCCGCAAGAAAGAGAAAAATAGGCTCAGGACAAAGGACCCAGTGGGCACTCCCCCAGGGGAGCACACCAGGGCCAAGCCATCTCCATCCCTTGTGAGGACCCTATGAGACTTGCAAGAGGAGTGCAAGAGGAGAGCAATGGGCAGCAGCAGCTCCTCCCGGGCTTACCCCCTGAACCTGTCTCCAGGGCCCCCTTCGCTCTCTTAGACTTCTCACTGAGCCAAAGCAGCCCACCCTGGGTTCTCTAGTTGCTTCTTCAAGGCTTTCTGGTTTCTCTGTCCCAAGTCTGCCATCATGGATTGAATACCCTTTGGCTAAGCGCTGTGTAGCCCTTCCCTTTGGACAGCCCCTCCCCTTTTAATAAATTTAATTTGTCCCGTCTGAGATGTCTATTTAGCCTGCCCGAGTACCC